AGATTACCGTATTACCGGGAAATCAAGACAGTATGATGTTGAGGGATTTTTGTAGTGTTTTCTAATGAATGAGGAGATCCGAATGAGTTCGACTGTTCAGAAACAGAGAGTTATGAAATTAAACTGCGCCATGTGTATAGGCGACGCGATGATCCAATTTCGGTTGCCGATCGCCGTCCGAAATCGATCAATATTGAAGAACAATTAATACGAGGAGTCGGAGAGGCGCTTATCTTTACTTCAGGGAGTTGCAGAACGTATCGAATGGAGAACAATAAAAACTGTATACATATGAAGTATTGACTTACAAGTATCGTCTGGATAGTAAATGACCCAATAAAAATGACTTTAAGATGACCTAAAGTTGGAAAATCGGAGGGTTACACTTCATTCTGCTGAACTGATTCAAGCAGCAATCAGGAGCGACCAGAAATGATAGTCCTTAACATTTTCGATAAAAACGATGAGCCAAGAGGTAACAGAGACGGTACACGAGTAAAGGATTGTACAAGTACACTGAGATGCAAAAAAANAAAAAAAGGAATACAGGAGGGACCACAATAAGTACACTTTCGAGGGCGTTGAACGAGCGGATGAACTTTTAAGCATGACGGATTTTGCGTTTCAGTGCTTGGCGGCTAAAACAAGGCACGAAACGATGGGGGTGATCGAAGTGTGCTGGAGCTGTGCGAAGCGCGTCGACGGATGGGAGGAGGAGAGAAGTGAGGCAAGCAAGCGAACGAAGGGCGGCACGAGGCACGGAGGGTAAGTTGGACACAGCCGTTGAGTCTGGATAACGTCGATGTCAGGCTGTGTCGGTGGAGCATCAGAGAAGTAGATTGGGAGCGACGCTCCGAGCGCTCTGCGTCTCTGGAGGCCGCGCGATCAATTGCGTCCCCCGTCGCGAGTCGCGTCACGCCTTGTCGACGGGGTCTGCGCGCTGGCGCTGGAGGGATGGGGGACAACCGCGGGACGACGGGGGATAACGCGTGTGAGAGGGAAGGGTGACGGGCCACTCGCTGAACACTCACTAGTGACGGGACGGGGGGAAGGGGGGCAGTGTGCTGTGGTCGTGGACGCAGACAAGCCGCCGTCGCCGCGACGTGCGACGGCAGCTGCGCCGTTGACGCGCGACCGCGACCGCGACGGAGGACGGCGCCGCCGGGAGCAGCAGCCAGCAGCAGCAGCAGTAGCAGCGTCGTCCAACCGCCCACCACGAACAGGGGGACCGACACATCTCTACAGCTAGGTAGACATACATGTACATACATACATACATACATACATACATACATACATACACAAGTAGGCGCACCCATATTCACGTACATATACGTACATATGCACGTGACATTATTGCAGACAAAATCGATTGTGGCGATAAGCGCTCAGGTGAAATAAAGCCTGCGACCCAGTTCCGCAAGAGACGGACCGGGCCAGGTGCTGCGCAGGGCTGCAACGTGACAAGAAAAAAGGAAATCGTGCATCGAATAAGCACCAGACACGAATCAAAGAACGATCGGCACAGCTCAGAGGTCCAGCTCATTGCATGACCTCGGCAAGTGACTACTGCATCGCACCTCGATCAGATAACAGCACAAAAATTTCTACCACTCCGATCATTCGGGTCACTAGGTTCCCGAACCGTACCCGAAGTACCAGGGATCCTCTGTGACGGGAATGGTTCGGGAATTTCGGAAGGTTTACAAGTGGGTGAAAGGTAAGGGTTCTGATCAAGTGATTTGTGGAGAGTTTAGGCGGCAGAAGGGAATCGAACCGTGTTTGGTATTAGCCACGAAGATATTTCGCTATCATTTGCTCCAAAGGTGAGATAAGTCTTGAGTAGAGTTAAAAATAGAAGAGATATAAATAAATATTAATGAGGAGCAAAAAAAGAATTCTTTACAAACTCCACAAGTTTTTTTTGGAAAGTGAATGAATGCATCCTTGAAAAAAAGAAATATCAATAATTCTTAGCAGTAATGAAGTAAAAGTCCAGAGGCAGGGATTCAACAGTTTTCAACATGGCACAATCAATATTTTTTAAATCATTCAGAAAAATAGTTGAGAAGCTCCTCTAGCCATACACCCACTCAATCATACCACCTGATTCCCGGCCGTATCACCCCACACATCTTTCAGTGGGCATGAGATGGCTGGATGGAAAGCTGTCAGCTGTTAGTTACTTTGAGTGGTATTTATAACAGGTTCCATCACAGTAAGCGGTGATAAAATCTGTATTGAATGAATAAATTGATTTAAAGTACTTCACCACACCAACGAAGCTTCAGTTAAATGGTTTGTTCGTGTTTTCGCAATATTGCACAATAAGGAAAACATGCTCCACTGCGAAATCAATAGCGACACCGTGAAAGTACCAATTCGAAAGTATATATCAATGCTAATGACTCAGGCCGTGGCCCTCAAACAAAGAAATGTTTGCATGCAGAGCGAGAGGAAGTTAAAGCTTGAATGATGGCTGATTCATGGTCTGGCCTGGCGGCCCGTTTTAGTTGGCGTTCATTTCCGAATATCTAGCAGAAAGTAGTCAATTAAGTAGTTAATAATTTGGTAAAAATCGCACATACTTGCTTGTAACTGTGAGTACCATGCAGTGCTAGACGGTGGACCGCAAAACGTTGGCCCACGAGGCATGAGAAACCTCGAAGGCTTTGGAGATCCAGAAGCCATGCCTGAAATAAGGTTGGAAATATTTGCGGATACCAGGCTAAAATGAGCGAGGGCATTTCAAACTAAATTAGGGAAATCTATTTGTAGAACATCAGAAATAGGCGCACTGACATGGGAAGTGACCTCATGGGCGAAGATTGTGCTTTCTTGGAAAATGAAATCCAAAGTAAATTTGCATGTGAGTCGTAATAAATATTGAACATATGAAGCTTACAACTTTTTATGCTTCACAGTTTTTCAATCCAAAAATTGGAGGAGGATTATTTTCTACGTACTTGGTCATCCCTCACAAAAACGCGCCAATTCAAAGCGGAATTTGAACGAAAGATGTGCAGTAATCGAAAAAAAAANAAAAAAAAACAGACTTTCCAGAGGAGCAGCTGCAACTTATTTCTTGTTCATTTTATACTCGACGCGTTAAGAAATCGACATTTTAAAATATTCAGTTTGGTTAATTTTATGCAAAACTAGCTAGTGGGCGGAGCTACGTGAACCAGTTATCACTCTTCTATCTCGGAAGGATCCACCAATAGAAGGGGACCGATGCTGTCATTTACACCGCCCACATAGGCTTATCGTGCTTACTGCATCTTGAAATGATGCAATTTCATTTGAATTAGATGACAGAGCCAAAAACTTCCAAAATTGACCTTATACCAGTGAATACTTGTAAACTATCAAGTAAGTGACTGCTTACCTCGAGAACGACGTCCCCGCCTTTTCTTCGGATAACCGTTTTTATCCATATCAGTTGAATTAGTTGAGTTAGATTGTGAATTGAAAAAGTTCATTCGAGTGGCCAAATTACCGCCAAAATGAACTGCGGCCAATTGTTTGTAAATCCGCGCGGGACCACATATTCACGGGATCCCCTATTGCCTAGTCCCTCCACGGCATAGGTAGGTAGCTGCCCGCCGGCTATTTACAGGTAACAAAATCAATCAAATCAGTTAATGGAATATGTAAAAAAGATGAATTTTTGAAATAAGCTGCGAATTCATAAAGAGTGACCCCTGAAGTTACTTGTTTACAAAAAAAACGAAATTCGGTAAACGGAACTGGTAATTTAGTGAAATAAAAGGTTCGGATTCCGAATTTGCTTATTTCTTTTCAGTTCGACCTTTGTGTACATGAAATTTTGAAGGTTTATAAAAACCAAAAAGCTACAGAATCAGCATTATTAAGCAATTAATGTACTAGTAACTGTTATAAGGGTGAAATATGAGTTCCTGTAGGGAAAATGCGATAAAAAAGGAGGAAAGGATTGTGCACAACGTTTCACATAGGCAAGAATAATGTCAATGTTCGTCAAATACTTTCTTTCGTATATTCAAACAATCCAATGGGGCTGTTTCGTCACATCGGATTCTCGAACAATCTACTGAATAAGTTTTTGAAAACCAAAATGTTTCGCCTATCCGTGTAATCCAAATCGACGAACGATTATCGATTAATTGATCGTTCTAAGATGACAACGATATTTTAAGCTCTAATCTATTGACATGCACACTCCTTCAACTATTAATGAGATTACTGTACTAGTACTAGTATAAATAAATAAATACTAGTTGCCTAAATTCCCCTGCAGTCAGGCTGGTTTCAGGATTGTCAGCCAACATTCACTAAGAATCTAAAATTTTAGTAATAGTAATACATAATTAGAGATAATTATGAGGTAATAATAATTGAAGTAATAAAAATACATAATTCCTTGGTGTCTCTGACGAATGAATAATTATTTAGCTGATATTTTTTCATTTGGGGATCAGATAGCCTAATCAAAACTGTGTACAGATAATCAACTAGCTGGAAAATCTTGACCCCAACTTTCTTCTAAATCGATAACCTGGAAAATTTAGGCTTTAATTACGTTGAAAAATTCGATTTTTAACGATTTCGTGAATTTCATTTGATATGTTGGTAGATCTTTTTTCCTCTCTAAATTGGCAGGGAATCTGAATAATCCGAGCTGGCTGGTATCCGTGGGTGGTGGGTGGTCGAAAAAATGAACAGTTATATAGCTGCTATTTTTTGTAACATGATCAAGATGACTTAGTTGCCGGAAAAATCCAGTCCAAACTGCATACAGGTAACCGACTATATGGGAGGTAAGCGGTAACTCTATCGAAATAATCCGATTTTAGAAGATTCACAGAATTTTTCCAGTATTTTAGTGCTTAACCTTTTAGAAAATTGAAAAAAATTACGATTTTCTGCTCATTTTCGAGCATATTCGAGAAAATTCCAGTATGGTGTGGAACATTTTGGCTTTTTTCTCATACGGTTATACAAACATTAAAGTTTGGCCACTAACGGATTCCTACCATACTGTAAGTGCAGATAGACCTGAAATTTGTAAAAAAAAATGGTTTAGTATTATAGTTTATGAAAGATGGGATAGCCCTCATTTTTGAAAAAAATACAGTCGTAAGAGAAATTTGAAGGAATACGGTTTAGCAGGTAATGCGAATAGTAGCCTCTCGGAGGAGGCATAGCTGTAGAGGTCCCAGGTTGGGAAATGGAATTTTCTAGAAGGCATGGACTATGAAACCACCTGTTCTCGACGGTTGTGAAATCCCGAATGCCCTCCACCTTGTCGACGTTGTTTGGCGTGAGGATCAGGAAAACGTTCCGTTCAGGGTTGTAGTGGTCCTGGTGGGTCTGCCCGATGAGAGACGCTGCTGGTTCAGTTAGAATTAACGGCTGATTATTGACTGATTCCGCACGTTCGATTTCGTCCAACGAAACCGGGGGAGGAGAATCCTCGTCATCGTTGTCGTGGCACTCTTCGTCGACACGATGAACACAGATATCGACACTCGTCGATGACATCAATTCCACTTGAATTCCATGAATTCTGACCAAGGGGGGATATCTGCAATATAAAAGCTCAGAAATCTGTCAAATCAGTCCTTTGTAAGCTCCCACATCGAAGGTTCAACCTTAAACCACAACAGCGTGCGCCACGTAACTTGGCGACGGGCCACAGAGGCCAATCAATCGATACTCGGGGCTGTCGATACCCGGCCGTGTGCCTTACTGCGCAATACGTTCGTCAACGTCAAACTGGTGATTTGAGGGTGCTGGTTTTCTCAATTCATTCTGTATTGATTAACTATTGATCCGTTGGTGTATGGCACTTGAGGATTCCTTGCTGCAATAGAAAATATCATACATTTTTATGTTCTTAGTCAGTCTGGTTGTTTGTGTATTCGTACGTCGTCGTGTATCAGATTCATTCGATCAGCTGGATTCACTTTTTCGTATAATTTTTTATCTTCTCTTATCTCTCTCTCTGACACAAACATACTGCCTGAATGCTGTTGTTGACTATTTTTGATCGCTTTCGACGAGCCACTTCACAGCAGCATGTTACACTAATAAATGGTCATTAAAAAACGATCTGCTTGAGCGTCTACAATATTTGCTCACCAACATTACTAACTTTACCATCCGACGGGTTTATTTTGTAATCTTCGTATCTTTCTTAGTATTTTTTCCATTTTTGTGGGCGCGTAGTTGCTTTCCTCCTGAGTGGAAAGGTGCAACTTTGGAAAAATTGAACTCAAAACATCTTCCTGAACCTCTTCGCTTTTCATGTTTTTATTTTTGAATGGCGATGTTTGGAGCAGCTCGATTTTCCTGCTTATCGAATTAATTTTTACTTATTTACTTGAACAGTAGCTTATTTACCATTACAAACACCTAGCGAATTTAGAAATGCCTAGCTCAAAGTTGTACAAGTCAAATCCGCTAGTAGTTCTCCTATTTTGTTTTCTTTTGTATTTGTTTTCCGGTAGTAAGGAACGTGCGCAGTCAGCAGTTAATTCATAATTATCGATCGAATGTGCACGTGAAAAATTCGCGCTCACAAAGAAATGAGAAAAAGAACGAAGGAATGTTCAGTGAAGGGGACAGTGCAGGTGTCCAATATGTTTAATTTAGATTCTACAAAATTGGTTACAATATTTAGACTGTTTTAATACAAGTATAAGGTTATAGCTCATCGAAATATTCCAATCATTCTCGATTTATTCTGAATCATATGATGTGTTCGTTATAGTTTTTTTTACAAAAAGACCAATGAGTCAGCTTCATCGCCAATCAATCAATGTCGATCGATTTTTCGTGTTGGTGGAAGACGTTGGTCAAAATGCTGGTGAAACTAAAGCTTTTCTGGTTTTTACTCGTAATCGCGAGGCTGTCAAGGAACAAAAAGAAGCCCAGTGATTCAGTAGTGACTACTTTTTAGTAACAAAGTTTTGTAATGAAGTAACATTCCTTTCAGCTTTGTCAACACTTACATTTGCATTAACAACGAAAAGGTGGCAGTCAGATGACTTGTAGTCGTTCACGATTGACCATTATCGATTTGTCATCGTTAGGGCTTATGGTGGGCAATTTTACAACAAAATCAATTTGGTTCCTCCTGTCTGTTCAGCATCATTCGTCCCATTCAATTGGTTCAAAGTACTGTACCTGAGTCATCGATTATTGATTTTTAATCAGAGAAACCAGGTCGAAACCTCATGAATGCCTCAACAGCTGTTCCCCTCGATTGTCCTCAATTTTACATATTTTCAAAGGAATTTGTCGGTCTTAAGGTTAGAAATGAAGCCGTAAAGTGCTGATTTTATCAACCTAATCTCTTAGATTTTTGTTAGATGCACAAATTCGGATATTTAATTGTATATTTATATTTATGAGCTGAGCAGAGAGGAAAAATTCAATCAGGCAGTAGAATCGCCTCTATTTGATTTTAAAAACCACTCATTCACTCGGAATTGAAATACTATTTGATTTTTTTATGTTCAAAATGTGTCATTAGGGCCGGCCAAGGCTTAGAGGGCTGCATCTGGGCCTCCGCGGGATTCGATCTGAGGTTCGAGACTTGTTGATCATACTGTGACAGTATCGCCTTTAGCCTCTTCCCATAGCTATTTACATATAGCTACATATTTGATCAGCATATGGCGAATGATTCTTAAAAAAGAAAAATTGAATTTCCCAATTTAATATTCAGATTTGCCGTTATACGGGGCGGAAAAGCAAAGCTTTTCATGTTTTTTTNAGAAAAATTGAATTTCCCAATTTAATATTCAGATTTGCCGTTATACGGGGCGGAAAAGCAAAGCTTTTCATGTTTTTTTTGCACGATGTATTTTGTACGGTAGCCCATCTAACAAACGAGTTACCCTTATTTTTTCATTGATTTTAATTCAGCAAAAGAACGTTGTATTTTTTTTTGTTACATTTTTAGGTTTTGTAATGGCTTTGGTGGCACAGAAAGACTTCATCCAGTTAGATGAAGAGAGGTTCAAGTATAGTTGTCCCTATTTCTGTAAACTGGTTCCCACAACCGAATGAATGCAGTTAAATTTAAACTGGAAGACGTCCCTTTGTTGTTATATGTGTAAGGCTCCCGACCCCCGTACGCCCATTTTCCCCTGTGCCCCTTAATTTCAGTGATGGCTTGGGTCGGAAAGGTGAGCAGAGGGAAACCCGTAGCTCGATTTTTTCGTCTGTACTAGTTATGGATCATATATTATTGTATTTTTTGAGAAACTACTATATAGCTGGTTACGACTTGTATAGCTATATTTACAGTGTTTATTAATTTTGCGATGTTCCTGATGTCATGCGGGAGACGGGCAGTAGGACCGATTTTGGTTAATCGATTCGCCGCACGCGGCTGCCGCGGGCCACTCATTCGCCGTTA